TGGGACAGACTGAAGAAGGCTGAAGCAGGCTTAGGCAGGCAGAAGCCGTCTGAAGAAAGGTGAAGCTAGCTGAAGAATTCTGAAGGAAACTGAAGCTGGCTGAGGCAGGCTGAAGCGGGCCGAAGAGCAGAGCGCGTGGACCCCGTCATTGCGACTGCCAATGGGCCCCGCCCTGGCTGACCCAGGCTGACCTACATCGCGGCTCAGCCCGTCTCAAGGCGGCTCATGTCGCCCCGCCCCACGCAATCGCGTCTCGCGCTGGTTCCGCGTGTCTCTCAAATCAGCGTCCTTTGGCTGGACCTACGATTCTTGACGATTCTGCACTTCGCGAGGGTTTGTTCTGGTTGGGCGCGTCGATGGGATGCGCGCTCGGCCGGCCTTAATGAGTATCGCGGTGAAAGGTAGAAGACTGCAACATCTTATCTTTACGATTTATACACAAGCGAGGCGCAGCGGTGCTGCGGAAGGGTTTGGGTAAAATGCATCCCGCCGCCCGGCAGCCGGAGAACGGAACGCGAGAGAGAGAGAGAGAGGGGTATGTTTATAAATTCAATTAAAGGGGGATGCCTTGATTATAGTGCCGTGCTGTGGAATGCCGTGTGGTATTCGGTACGTTCGACCACGCCTCTCGCCGGTGCAACGACGCAAGCCGCGGCAGCGAGGCGGCCCAAGCCGAAGGCGAAGGCCGAAGGCGGCCCCCGCGGCAGATGCCGGCAGATGCAGTCTCTTCGCGTCGCCTTCCGTCCGTCCGCCCGTCCCAATGCGGCGCTGCGATTGGCCCGGCCGCGGTCCGTGCATATCGAACACAGCCTTGGCCACTTCCTCGGCGAGTGCGTCGAATCTGGACGCGTGACTCGTGCATTGTGCCCCTTGCGGACTGATTCCGTCGCTGTCTCTCTCGCACCCGAACGGGGCGCCCCGTGAGTGCGAGGGAGACAGAGCGTCCGAACGACGCTCAGTCTGCTGCTGCAGCCCGGCGGCCTGGCACTCTCCCACAGAGCCATTGTTGTCACTCGGCACACTGTAAAAGAGCGGTGACGCAACGGCGGCCAATATGTATTACCAGTGGCGCGGCCGTGCGAGTTAGGCAAGCCGAAAACGCCTGCAGGTAGGCAGCGAGTCCTCACTGATAAGATCGCCGTGTGACTTTGTTGCAATCGCTGGCGGGGAAGCACACTGTGACTTCCAGTGGCCACTACCTGGCCGCAGACACGACTTATCGGTGCGGGTCAGTGGCCGCCACGCTACCGCATCCTTGAGATAGGCGTGCGTGCCCGGCGGCGCCAACAAGCCAGCCCGGCCTGGCTCGGGCGGGGGTGCGGCCCGGCGGCGGCACGGACTCTCGGAGTGACACGGACTCGGCGGCGATTCGGAGATTTAGAGGGCCGAAGCGCGGCGTCCGCGGCGGCGTCGCGCCTACCGGGCGGGCCTCCGCGCTGGACGGTGCTCTGTCTCCCTCGCGCTCGACGGGCCCTGCGGGACTTCCCTGGGCGTGCGAGTGAGACGGAGGCCGAATGAGTCTCGTCTTTTACGGCTCCATTTTACAGCCAGCGTGTCCAGGCTTATCAATGGCGGCCGCTAATGGTCCATTCGGGAGGCGCCTCGATGCGAGCCTCGATGACGTCGTCGCGGCGCGCGATTCAACGCTCTTTTGCTCTTTTTGCCGAGGCCTGCGTGTCGCCAAGCCGTGCCGCCGGGCCGCTCCACCGTGCTGGCCGGCCGGCCGCACGGCCCAAAGGGCTGACCTTCCCTCCGCTACACTTTATGGACTGCATAATCGGCCCTGCACTGCTTCCGGTTCCGCCCCTCGGAAACGACTCGGGCGGCCGAAGAAAGATGTCGCAGCTTTTCCCTCTTCGACTTTCCTTCCACGTTGTTTGAAGCTCTTTGTTTCGGAGTAAAATGACGGCCACTCCGCTTGACTCGCGCTGCAGGCTGATTCAGAGAGTCGTTTTCGTCGCTCTGTCTCTGTCGCCCTCGCGGGGCGTCCCGTGTAGGTGCGAGAGAGACGGCACGACTTCAGCCTGCACTGTGAGAAAAAAGTACGGGAAAAGTACGGAACGTGTCTGGTCAATAATTTGCCTGCAACGTCCGAGTTTGCCAACTACGGAACGTTCCGTACTTTTTTCCGTACCCATTTACATGAGTTCATGAGTTCATATGGAGCAAGTACGGAACGTTCCGTACTTTTCTCCGCACCTCCGTACTATGTTTTTCTGTACCATTTCCGTACAAAAGTACGGAATTTTTTACAGTCTGCTGATCGTGTTCTGCTGGCCGATTCCAGAAATGACACGGCCCGCTCCCCGTCATCACGGCGGCATTATTTGCACCGAGTCCGTCGTCCAGAGCCCCGCAGTGTAGTGACCGTGTGCGTCTGCCCGTTCGTTTGGCGAATACCGAACGCGTTTCCGCTGACGTACGATTTCTATCGGTGGAGTGGAATGGTGGGCTCAATTAAGCGGCGCCCTGTCGCGATGCCCCGTGGCACGGCACGGCACGGCACGGCACGGTGCAGCGAGGGCAGGGCGCCCAGCGGTGAATCCGCTCGGGGCCGTGTCGGGCAGGCCGTCGGGCTGGCCGGCCTCCAGCGTGCGCCTGACGGACTGCAGTGCCTTTAAAAAGTAATTACGCATCTTAAATGCCTGATTGCTACACTGCAAGGCGTCCCCGTGGAGCGTGCCTTCATTGTGTTTGGCTGGGCGGTACGGGACGCAGGTCGACCTGCTACCTTTCGCGCACAGAGTTTTGGACTTCTGACTCCCTCTCGTGTAAAATCAGTTACGACGGTGGCCTGAAGCTTTCAGATTTGGAGCTGAGGACTGCTGCGATGCGCCGGTGTGGGTGGGTGGGGTCAAAACTATTAGGAACACACACACAGGCTCGCACGCACGCATTACGGGGCCACGCCCGGCCACGCCCGGCCCCGCCCCCAACACGAATTAAATATTTACTTGTCTAATTGCTTCTTGATGCGGGGCAATCGCCTTACATTACGCCCCGCCTTGTTTGGGCCATCAGTGCCCATCGCGGTGTGCATCGCGCGTCTCGTGTTTGCATTGTCTTCTCGGCGTAGTACTACACTGTCAATCCTGGGTGGTCCGCCCGGTCCGCCACGCTCGCTGCCCCGGTCAGGGGCTGACCGACCGGGAAACCGCAGACAAGGGCTGTCGGCGTCGCGACCGCACCGCGCCGCACCGCGCCGCACCGCGCCGCACCGGCCCTCGTTCCGAAGGATCTTTTCTTCACTCTCGCTCTCGTTCGCTCCCTTATGGAACGCCGCATGAGTACGACAAAGACAGAGAGACGAAAAGGCATCCCTCGGCATCGCAGGCGGCTGCCGACCGCACTCCTCCGCGACACCGGCACCGCCCCGGCACCGCCCCGGCCGGCACGAGTCGGAGTCGGCGTGAAACCGCACACCACCCGCCGAGCCAGCCGAGCCAGCCGCGATGCCTCAAAAGTTGATCGCGCCTTTCGGACGGACAGTGACGCTCTTGTTATGTCCTCCTGTGATGTCTGGCGTGGATTCAGAGGGGGAAAGACCGGGAAAGACCCCTCTCCCTTCCGACGGGTGCTAGATTGATAGGCCGCCTGGAAGGTATGCTCCAAGCACTTCGTTGCCCCTAAGTAGGCAGAAACCACCACAGTAACACCTCCTTAAACAAATCCTGGATCCGCCCCTGTGTGATGCCCTGTGATGCTGACGGACTGTGAAATTCCCGGATTGAACTCGAGTTCGAGGTGGCCGCGGCCCCTTTGTTGTTCCCGGCCGGCGAAAGCGAAGCTTGGCGCTGCGGCGTGCATGCAGATCAGCGAGCCTCGGAAGCGGCGGCGCGTGCAACGGAACTGCTTGTCCGTCACTTTCCAGCGCTAATTGCACACATCGCACCGCATTGCAGGCATTGCACTCGCCGGCAACGCCATCTCGCGCCTCGGCCGCGCGTGCTGTCGCTCCACGGCGGTGTGATGCCGGGCCGCGCAACAGGCAATCAAGACTTAGACGCATTCGGAATGTTTGCCAGAAGTTCTAAGCCACCGCCGGCGGCCACCCGTTTACACAGTACTGGACAAGCTTTGATCAATTTGGCGATCGTCCTTCCCCTTGGACCCTGGAAAGGCACCTGAAGTGCAGGCAATAAAGCCAAACTTTCCTCCTGCAAGCAGGCAAAACGCTCTGCTTTGCTGATCAAAAGCACAAATTTTAGACATCCGTCTGTTTGACCAACTTTGCGGCGCCATTGAAGTATTGGCAATCGCATTTCAGAAGCAGAGCGGCATTAAAGAGGAAGGTCTCTAAAGACTACTGAGACGCTTACGCAATGCGATTTGTTTCAAGCCTTCTATCCCGACGGTGGCGTCGACGCGCGTCGACGGGCGTGGCCGCGCCGGGCGTCGCGCCCTGCGGTCCCCGAAAGGTCTTCCCTTCCGGCGGGCTGGCGGTGCCGGGCTGACGGTGCCTGCCTTGCCTGGCACGACGCACCTGACGCGGGGACGTCCGCGAGGTCCGCTCGCCGCACCTCGGACGCGACCCGCGTCAAACTCCTTTGAGTGACTCAGGCGGCCGCCGCTTCCGCCGCGAGCGAGACCGCGCTCTTCGTCTTGAGGCGAGGCTTGCCGGCCGCGCGGGCGTTTTAATATCGCCGCGATGACCGCCGCCGCCTTCAAGGACGCCGAAATGAGCGAACGGCCGCCGCGCCCGGCCGCGCCTCGCTCGTGACGGACGTCGCCGCGGACGTCGCCGCGGACGTCGCCGCGGACGTCGGACTGTCTCGGGACTGTCGGCCCGTCGGACGCACTTGGCGGGGAAATGACCGACGCAGCCGTTCGGCGCCGTGTATGGGCGTCTGGGCTTCGCGACGGACGGCGTCGTCGGGGACGTCCGAGGGGCGTCGGCGACGTGTTTCGTTCGTCTTGGATCGGCCTGGGACGCGGCCGAGGACGAGGAAGGTGTGTAGAGTGACATCAGTGTGCTGACACGGCCGTGGTCTCTGTTCCAGATCGAGAACATCCAGCGGACGCTGTCCTTCGTGGAGGGCCTGGGCGTGCTCCTCGAGGGCATCTGCGCCAAGGACGTCCGCGACGGCAACCTCAAGGCCATCCTCGGACTCTTCTTCGCGCTGTCCAGGCACAAACAGCAGCAGAAGCAGCTGTCGCAGGTAGGTGCTGGCTGCGCTGGCTGGTCCGCCCACGTCGGCGATGCCCTTCTCGGCGGCCGTCTGATGCATCTCTGTGTTTGCAGCGCGCCGCGGAGCGGGACCGCCTCGGCAGACTGGCTCCGGCGGCCGTGACGACGACAGCGGCCCCCGGGCCCGGGGCAGGCAGCCATGGGCCCTCCGGCCTGGCGCACCCTCTGGGACACGCCATGGGCCACCCCATGGGACACCCCATGGGACACCCCATGGGACACTCCATGGGACACCCCCTGGGACTGGGGCACGCGCAGTCGGGGCTGCCGCAGCCCATCGGCCCCGGGCCCGCGCTGCACGCCGAGGACATGCCACGGTGAGTCACTGTCGCCGCCTAGGAGAGCGTCGCACCGCGGCGGACACCTCGCCGTCGAACGTCGAACGGCGCGCCTGCGGAGCCTGCGGCACGCTCGCTGTGGCGTGCAGCTATGGCCGTAATTGTCTGTCTGGGGCAACAAATTAGTGGCCGCCCGCCCCGCCCCGCAGCCCGGCCCCGCCTCTGCTCCCGATGCCCCCGTCCAGCGCCAACGGGCCAACGGGCCAACGGGTCAGCTCCCCGAAAATAATATGAATGCAGCAAGATAACTGCCCTCACCTCGCGCGAGGCGAACGCACGGCCTGCCCCGCGGCGGCGTTCCCACGGCGGGGCGGAGAGCGCGCCGGCCTGCTGCAGGAGGATGGCTCCAGGATGGCTCCAGGATGGCTCCAGGATGGCTCCGCCAGATAACGCAGCATGCGCAGCATCCGACGCGCGGGGTATCGGCGGCACACGCGGCGTCGCGGCGCCCGCACCGGCGATACCCCGCGCTGCGACGCCGGGCTGGCGGCGATACTCCCAGCAGTCGCTGGCTCTGCAGCGTTACCCCTTGCCGCCAGGTCGCTTGTGGCTGGGTCGGGAATACCCCACTCCACTGGATACACTGATAAACGTAAACGTACATTTCTATCGCCGTGCCCAGTAAACATCATCTGTTGTTGACTAACTTTGACGGTAAATTGTGTGTGTTGCTGAAAATTAAGACGCTAGAAATATTTCCTAGAATCGCCAAAGCGAATTTTTTCCAGTATACTTTGTTTAAACATTTCGCCAAATCACTAAAACAGCCGTACTTTGCTGATGCAAAATTACGTCACTCTTGATCTCATCAATAAAACATGATTTTATCGAACCTGCTACTCCCCTTTATGTTCATCACGTTTTCTACCGACCGACGTCAAGAAAAAGATTGCATCGGCCGGGAATCGAACCCGGGCCGCCCGCGTGGCAGGCGAGCATTCTACCACTGAACCACCGATGCTTCATGTGGGGGAGTGAGCGGCGCTGGGCTGACAATCCTCGGCATCGAGCTGGCGACTGGTGGGGGAAGGCCAGCAGCGCCGGAGAGTGGAGTGGAGGGGGGCGGCCGCCGCGACGCGCGCGAGCCGACAGTGCAACCCGTGGAACGGCGCTACGCAACGGAAGGAAGTAGGGGAGCGTGATCCTGAACTTGAAAACGGCGTGACCTTGGAACCTTTCTCTCTCTCTTTCCTCTCGCTCCCTCCCGCTCTCTATTTACTTCCTTTTAAAATGCAATTGAATTAAAGAACAAGCAAACGCAATTGACGAGGCGGGGCTGGGCTGCGGGGCGTGGCCGCCAAGGGAGAGGCGTTCGCGTTGGAAGGAAGGGCTGCTCGCTCGGAAGGGTTGTGCCACCGTGCATATTTTCTGCTTTTAGTGTCGAATCGTCAGACACTTTCAAATAGTTCCGATAGTTCCTCTTGTTAATTTTCTGCCGATCATAGTTCGGAGAATGGCGTGAATCGCTCGTGTTTATCACTCATGGGACCGGAGCTGCACTGCAAGTGCACCATCATGCAGGGCCCTGGTATTGTTTTTCCCTCTGTGTGTGCGCGCGCGCGCGTGTGTTTGTGTTACGCGATAATGCGCGTGCCGCCCTATCCGATCCTCGGTTTGGCACGTCATCGAATCTCCTCCCCGGGCCCGGCGCGTGCTTTGTTGCTTCCAGGGGGACTCTAATTCTGCCTGGAACTTCCCCCATTGTTGCCTCCCGATGCCTGGCTGGGCCTGGCTGTGCCTGCCGCCCTTTCCATCCACTAAAGCCCGGGCCTAACGCCGCCCTGGGGGAGGGAATGCGTGCAATAAGGATGCATGGAGCCCTTCCCGGGCGGGCGGGCAGGCAGTGAGGGCGACAAAAGCCCCTCGCCGCGCCACGCCCCGCCACGCCCCGCCCCGCCACGCCGCAGATTCGCTCGGGGAGACTGGAAACTCATTTAACTCATTTCCTCGGCCCGGTTTTGACGCCCTCCGGCCTACAGTGCCTCGCGCGGCCTTGCGCCCTTCATTACACAGTGGAGGGGCGGAAGGGGTGACGGGAAGCAGGTCAAACGGGCCGAGAAGTCGCCCGCCCGGCCGCCGTCAGCGTGTCAGGTGTCGGGTGTGACGTAGGTGTGACGTGGGTGTGACACGACAAGTTTTGCAAAATTTCGCCAGGTCCACTCACACTCAACTTTCAATCCCCATCGTTTAATCACATTCATAGATCTGGAATAGGAGCTCCCCTCCAAGATTCATTCTGAAAGTCCTCAATTCGTCGCCTCCAAAATGATGAGCCTGGCAAATGATTGCGCTCGGGACGTTTTGGACGTTTCAAAAGCCATTTTTGACAAGTATGAAAACTGACTGTACAACACTTTTTTGCATAGTCCGACTGCGTGCGTCGGGCGGTGGGCACAAGTGGCCGGTCCGACACGGAAGCAATTTCGCTGCCGTCTGTGCGGAGGGCCGGGCGGGGCGGGCGGGGCGGGCGGGGCGGGCGGGGCGGGCGGCCAGGGCCAAGGGCTGTGCGAGGGGAGGCGGGCAATACGGTCTGGACTGTGGTCACGGCGGGCCGGGCGGGCCGGGCGGGCCACTGGTGCGAGGCTGCGAGGCCCCACGAGGCGCGCCAGAGGGGGCGACTTTCATGTGGTGCGCGCTCTCAACACCTTCGCCATAATGCTGCGAACAGGCGGACGGACAGACTGGCAGACAGACAGACAGACAGACAGGCGGACGAGACTGGCAGACGGGCGAACAGGGAGGCTGGATGTATTCGGTCCCTTTGTCAGCCAGCCCGTCGTTTCGCCGCTGCAGATTGCTAGTAAATAACTTGACGCCTGTCGCGGCGTCGCGGCGCTGTCGCGGAACGGGACGGGATGGAACGGCTCGCGGGGCCCCTCTCCCCGCGCGGTGCGTGCGGAACGGCGGAGGCACCTCGCAAGCCTGTCCCTGTCGCCCTCACCCAGGAAGAGGCCAAAATCAACCCAAAAAGTCAACTCCTTAATCAAAAACAACCGCATTTAGGCATGCACAGCAACCTCTGTGATTCCCACAGCCCCTAAAAGATGTGAGTGAAGCAAAGACAAGTAAAGGCGGCGTTGGGCAAAAACTGCGAGTTGCGTCCCTTTCCGGTGCACGCCATGGCGTGGTCGTCAGCCGATCCGAACGCGCCCCTCCGTGCGTGGCTCTGCGTAGCACGGCACTGCGTGCGTCCACAAAGGCGGCGCCTCCGCGGCACGCCGCCTCTCCCTCCTCGTGCGAGATTCTTTCTGTTGAACGCGATTTGATGCGTCGGCGCGGCGCTATCTACGCGAGGCGCCGGGACTAGACATCCGAACTATGCGAAGAGTGTGAGGGAGAGAGAGAGAAGTTGGAAGCAGCCCTCCGCAGAAAGCAGCGAGGGGAGACGAGAGGCGGAGGCCTGAGGAGGCTGGTACCCGCCGTCGTGGTGCTTCGAGATCTCGCTCGAGTCGAGCCAGCTTCATCATCAACGGGGGTAGAAAAATGGCTTTCGGACCGACCGATGTGCCCGCTCCTCCTTCTTCTTCTTCTTCTTCTTCTTCTTCTTCTTCTTCTTCTTCTTCTTCTTCTTCTTCTTCTTCTTCTTCTTCTTCTTCTTTCTCCTCCTCCTCCTTCTTGTTCTCCCTGATCAGCGGCGATCCGCGAAGGGCGAAACTCTTGAAAAGCGCGTGCGGTGTGCTGCCGCCATAGGCCACTGCAAGGGTCGTTGTTATTTATGAAGCGTTGCGTTTGCATTTTCCCCAATCGGAATGGAAGTTTTGGGGCAACTTTTTTATCTTCCTGCTGCTGTTCCTGCTGCGCTGGGGCGTAGACGGGGGCGTAGATTATGGGGAGGGTTCGGCTCGGAATTGTTTTTGGACACCCGGGGAGCAAAAGTTGCAGTACGAATGTTTTGCTTTTGTTAAAGCAGCTCCCCCTCGTGGTCCTATTAAAAATGCATGCGGAAATGCACTGTGGGCAATGATGTTTCTCCCTGTTCCTTCCGGGAGTGACGTCACCGCACGAGGAGGTACTCGCGCAGCGACTCAATATTTTTCTTCGGCGTCCCCAGAGGGACGGAGAGCCAGGGCGGCGGAGGGCGGAGTGAATCATGCAAATGCCGACAAGATAGATTATGTTGTTTTGATTTGGCGGCGGCGTTGCGGGAAGGGCTGCTGTAGCAGGGCGGGGGGCTGGCGGCGCGGCGGGCAGTGCAATCGGATGAAGTGGAGCAATTTGCGGGCCAGCAGACTGAATCCGAGAGTCGGTTTCGTCGCTCTGTCTCTCTCACACTCAAGGGGCGTTAGGTTCGATAGAGACAGCAGAGCGACGAAAACGACTCTCGGAGTCAGTGTGCAGCGGTCCACAGGCTGCAACGAGTGCATCGAATCAACAGACACGAGGCGCCACCTCGTTGACAGTCGGCCGCATTGTTCGACGCTTTCGTGTTATTGTTTCTGGCCCCGCCCCTCGCGCCATGTTCGCATTCCGCAATAATTGCGCGTATTTGCGCGCTCCCCGCCTGAAAAAGTTTCTCGAGTGGGCGGCTGCTGTTTAATTAAGGGTCCACCCCACCGTAACTTAAGCCCCTGGAAGCGATGGACGCCGAAGGGGCCGAAGGGCCCGAAGGGCGTCGCGCTGCAGACCGTCGCTCTGTCTCTCTCGCACCTGTACGGCACGCCCCGTGAGTGCCAGAGAGACAGCGCGACGAGAACGACTCTGCTGGCTCGGCGCGCCTGCGCCCCTCTCCCTCCCCCACGCGGATTCACCTGTGCGTGGCTCGCGTGGCCGCAGCCCAGCGCCTTCGCGGAGGCTTCGCTCAGCCGAAAGCTTTACAAATTGATTGTCTTTTTCAATGTCCGCATTTCCCGCCGCACCCTGCAATAGGTTGGAGCCATCTGGCGGCTGGCTCGCTGGGCCCTGGCCCTGGGCCTGGCGTTGTGCCCCGCGCCCCTGAGACTGCGGGCCGCGCTGGCTGGCTGTGGCTGGCTGGCTGGGGT